AAAAGTAATTTTATAAAAAATTCGGATTTAAAAAAAAGCTTATTCCAAAAAGACATATACATATATTTACAAAATAATTTAAAATGACAAAAACATGTTTTGCAATTTTTATTTTTTTTTTAATTTTCGACTCTTTTTTTTTTTAATTTATTTTCTTTTTTTTCTGTTTCAAAATATTTTTTTGCTTAAAAATAATAGGTTTTTAACAAGCAAGCGTTATATAACTTTTTGAAAAAAAGAGAATTACCACAATGTGTGACCATAATACAAAAACTATTTTAAAAAAGTTATTTACGCCAAGTTCTTTTCAACAGCAATAAAAGCAACACAATGCAAAAAATAACGAATATTAACAATAAAATAAAAATAAGTTAGTTTTTTACGCCTTTTGTTAAATTTAAATTTATGTGCTACTATTTATATGAAAAATTTTCAGCGGATTTATTTATTTATTTATAAAAACGTGAAACAATAATACAATTACTTTTCCACGAAAAAAGGAGCATTGGCTGCCAGGACCTTCGTCTCAGCGGATTTAAAGCTTCAAATATTCAAAATAAAAATTGTTTGCATATTTTCTGTCTAAAAAGAAATTATTTATTGAAATATTCCAAAATGTTCAAAAATTTGTAGTTTAAAATATTTGTTCAAATAAATTTAATCGCACAAAATTACAGAAAAGAAAAAAAAATTGAACTTCTAAAGATTTTGCTTAACATAAAATTGATATTTTTTGGAATTTCGACGCGCAAAATACACGAAATATTTATTAAATAATATTTTCAATTCCAATGCTTAAAAAATGTTTTTGTAAATTATCGAGGAGCAATTTCAGTACCACAAAATATATTTATATAACAGCAACAAAAAAATTATTGAAACCATAAAAGAAATACAAAATATTAACAAAATTAACATACAACAACAAAAAATACAGATACAATAACAACAATAAAAATAAGTGATAAAGCAAATAGTTTAAATTTAAAATAAATAAATTAACAAGAATTAAAGCAACCAATAAAAACAATATATTGACTCAATATTTAAACAATAAGCATGCGAAATGTTTGTATGGGTACAGGAAAAAATAAAAATATTTTATGAAAATTTGTTACAAAAAATAAATTATGAAAAAAGAATTTGATACCAGTGCAACGGCTTCGATTCGAGTTGGTTTTGAGTTGAAATATTGCGATAACAAATATTTTTTAGCAATTTTGTGTTAAAATTTTTTTAGAAAGGCACAGAAAAGCAAATTTTAAACTGAAATTTTTATTTTTAAACTGAACT